TACAGAAAGAAAAGGAGTACTAGTGGCACCTTAGAGACTAACCAATTTATTTGAACATAAGCTTTTGTGAGCTACAGCTCATTTCATCGGATGCATGAAAGCTTATTCTCAAATAAATTGGTTAGTCTCTAAGGTGCCACTAGTATTCCTTTTCTTTCTGCGAATACAGACTACCACGGCTGCTACTCTGAAACCTGTCTTTATAGGTGTTTGATCTCTTATGGCCGAATCACATTCGTATGGTGGTATTTAGTTTAGTAACTTTTAAACTTTTTTATTAATTACTGATGTTGCAGCTGATCACCTTCGTATGTATGTTGTTTGGTATTCAGAACTCATTAGGTGACCCAAATGCCATAGGACTTCAGGCAAAATATGAAATAATGTGAGGTTTTATGTACATTTTGGTAAATTCTCCCCGGTGTCCCCTTTGTCCCCTTCTGAACAACTCAACAATGCCAGAGAATTTCTTTTGAATGAAAGATATTTTTTCCATGCTAGTAAACTTTGAAAAGTCTTCTAACTTTTGAGGTGGTATCCTCATCCTGGCACATAAGGTCAAAATACAAGAGCTAAATTATGACGTCTAATATATATGTGCACAACTGACAGACTGTGGTGTCAAAGTGGGAATCAATTTACTCTCTCATTTATCTCAAGCAATTGATAATGTACTCTAATTTGGTTGCTCGGAATTTATGATTGTTGTATGGAGGAATGGTGGTATCCGTTAGAAACCTGCTGAACTCTGCTAAGAATGTTTGTGCAAAAAGACCCTAATTATCAGATTGTTCTGTTCAAAGCTGTTTATGAAATTTAGCAGTCTTGAGGTTATTTTTAGGCTCAAGTCAGCAGTCAATTAGCTTCTTAAATCCTTCCTACAGAGACCGCTTCAGTTCTTCATGCATACACTTAAAACAAATGTTCTATTGTTCTTCTGTAATCTTTAACTCAGTTGGTCTAGACAATGTGACCCAAGAGCTGAGTGGTTCTCTTACCCCCCCCCCCCCCCCCCCCCCGCTCTTTCCCCGGTGTGTGTATGGATTTTAAAGTCTTAGTGTTACTTTTCCTTAAAAAACTGGGAAAGCAGAACTTTGCCTCAGGATCAGCTCTGTCACTTTGGATCTTTTTAATCTCCCATGTGACTTGTCATCTCTAAAGTATTTGCTATAGTCTTATATATTCTACTGGTTTTTTTTTTTCTGTTGGCAAGAAAACATGCAAATCATACAAGAAAAAACATGAAAAACAGCATCCTACATGTTCTATTAGCAAGTTATTCTTGAGGTGCCCAAGTCACTTCTATATGCAAAAATCTTAGTATAGATTTTGGGGTATTGGTTACAATGTAGTTGGTAGTAAAATAATGGGAGAATCCACAGTGACATCATAAATATTTACAAGAAGGTGAAAAACAAGTAGGTGAAGATGGACTTTGCAGTCATGGGTAACAATATTTTTGGCTTTGCAGGTATCCATTAGACTTATTGTCGACTAATGAGACAGCCATTTTGTCTTGAATAAAACTTTAATCTTTCCACTTGTGAACTAATCGCTTTCTTTCCCATCTGTAAGAAAAAAATTGTATCCTTCAAAACAACCATACTTTAGTGTATCTGATAGTGCTGTTTATAGTTAAGGTTGACTCAGACTTTGCATTATAAAATCCAGTTTTTTCCCCTGTTTTTAATATCTCAGCCCTTTCAAATTTAGACCAAGCTGTAATTTGGTATAAAAGATGTTACAAAGGAATTGTTGAAATCGGTTATCTTCTTGAGCTGTAAAGCTTCAAATACGCCATTTGGTCTGAACATGATGTTCTTTGTCAGTATGCAGAAAAACAGGGAAAAACAAAAAGTTGGCTGGGCAGAGGTGGGAGTGAGGGGTGAGAAGGAAAGAAGAGAACTTTGTGTGTAAGGGGGTATACAATCTAGGTTCTTCTAGGTGTATTGTGGCTCTTGCATTTCTTTGGAATCCTTGGGGAAACGATGCCTAGTATTTGATTTGGTTCTTTGAATCCTTACAGCAGAAAATTATTTATGGAGCTTACCTAGCAGTTAGCCTTTTACGATCTAGGTCCTGATCCTGCAATGAGTTCCCTCTGGATGGATTACTGTGTCTATAAGAAACGTACTGCAGGACTTGGGGACGTGGTTTGATTGATTGATCTGTATTCTGAACCATTCTTTTTATTTAGCTTTATCCCTGTGTAATTCCTTTCACAATGTAAAAACTTTGTGGTGCAGACAATCTAGGAAAAGCAAGGACGAGGCAAAGCTACAGCTATGGTCTTGTCTGTTATCACTCATAGAAAACCATTATGGGTGCAGTTCAGCTCTCCCATGAATGCAGATGTCTCCCACAGAAGTTGACAGGAGTCAAGTGTCTGTTTGTGAGGACTGAATTTGACTGTATGGTTTTTAAAAAGATATTTGAATAGACTTGTTAATATGCTATTTTGGTGCTCTTCTTGGTTTTCTTTATCCAAACTATATCTTAGGAATTACAAGTTTATCAGCATTATATTTAAAGCTAGACAACTCAAGATGAAACAAAGTATTTTGAGAAGTTTAAGGTGCGGCTGCTGCTGCTTCATGGGACAGTTACCAAATAGGTAGAGCCCTACAAAATTCACAGTCCATTTTGGTCAATTTCATGGTCAGAGGATTTTAAAAATAGTAAATTTCATGATTTTGGCTATTTAAATGTGAAATTTCACTCTGTTGTAATTGTAGGGGTTCTGACCACAAAAGGAGTTGTGTGTGCGTGGGGGGTCACAAGGTGGTTATGGGGGGGGGGGGGATTGCAGTACTGCTACTGTTACTTCACTGCGTCTGGCATTAGTGCTGCCTTCCGAGCTGGGCAGCTGGAGAGCAGCGGCTGCTGGCTGGGAGCCCAGTCTGAAGGCAGAGCCACCATCAACAGCAGCGCAGAAGGAAGGATGGCATGGTATGGTATGGTATTGCCACCCTTTCTTCTGCGCTGCTCCCTGCAGAGTTGGGCCCTCGGTCAGCAGCTGCCACCCTCCTGCTGCCCAGCTCAGAAGGCAGCAGCAGCACAGAAGTAAGGGTGGCATGGTATGGTATTGCCACCCTTACTAAACCACTGCATTCAGAGCTGGGTACCGGGCCAACAGCCACTGCTCCCTAGCTTCCCAACTCTGAAGGCAGCGGAGAAGTAAGGGTGGCAAGACTGCGACCCCCCCCCCCCAGAATAACCTTGTGACCCCCCCCCCACAGCTCCATTCCTCTAATACAAATCTCCAGATGAAATCATTGAGTTTTTTTCTACAAGTATAGCCAGTTAGATTTGTGCCACCGCCAGCTGCTGCTTCATCTTGAGATGTAAGGTACTCTGATCTGATAACACATTAATGTACATATCTATATAATATCTTTAAGAAGCCCCCAAAAGCACTTTATAAACTATATCCCATTAAAATATCTTTTGTATATGTATTAAATGCACTTCTTAATTATATGAAAATGTACTATTTCTCAAATATTACAATATGTCACACTTTTCCTACCACCTTGGAAACGTATAAGCACAATTTTCTAGGACTATGTGTGTGTTAATCCATGCCTTATTTACTTCAAAATAATTTAAAATGTTTAAGTGGGACTTGAGTGGTACATAGACCTCATGCTGGCCTTCTGAACTGGGGTGAATTCCATCCTGATTGCACAGCTATAAATTAGCCATACATGCAACGTTGTCTGTCTTAGCAGCAATCCTTAATTATATTAGCAATGTATAATACACAATATTAATATAAATATTTGTCTCATGTTAAAGCATCTATATTGTTTACTATACTATACATATATTACAGCCTACAGTAATGTTAGTATTAAAAATGTAGTTATCCAGTTAGCAGTTGTATGTATTTGTCACAAACCGAAATTAAACAGTCTGCTGTCCTGCAGTTAATTTGTTACTTGGAATTTTTATAATTGTCAAATATTTTTATAGGAGTCTTTCAAGTATTGGCATTAGGCTGCATCCTCTTTTTATAAAAACAGTTAAAACAGGATACCATGCATTTTGTCACTGTACATTTATTTCCCACTCTTCCAGCCACAAGCTCTTGTCTTTGCAATCTCTCGAACTTCATGTGTGCTTTTAGTAGAATTGAACATTTTGTTTTCCTTTGGTGCAATGAAAAAATTTGTTACAGACTAGTGAAAGAACTCTGGTAGCCATGTTCTTCTTCTTTTCATTAACTAACTTGTTAACTAGATATTTTACTTTAAGTTTTATAGCCAGTGATCATTATCCTAAATACAGCAGGGTTTTCTTTGACTACCTTTACATATGCTGTGAAACAATTTCAGTTTTCAAGGACTGAAAAAATTCCATTGTTTATGAAAATGATGCCTAGTATTTGATTTGGTTCTTTTAATCCCTGATTTGGAGGCCTTTTAGTATGGACACTCAAGTATTTGTGCAGCCCTTGCAGGGTAAGGGCATAACACATACCTTAGACTATTCATTTTAAAATGGCTGTCATCTCCCAAAGAACCATAAAACCATTGTTTGACAGTTATCTTAAAAATACCAGCAATGTTCATTTCAAATATTAAGCCATCATACAGTGCACATGGTATCAATGTATTGCCTTATCACAGTCACAGTGCATGCTGTCCTTGAGGATGATAGCAAGCCATCAGGGAAAAAAGCTATTGTATATGGCTGTGTGAAATTGCTGTAATGCTCAATGTAATATGGAGGGTCAAGAAATTGATGGCAATCATAAGTCAAGCAATGATTCATTCATAGGTGGGAAACTACTTGAAAAAGAGTGATGACTGTTAACTATTCCATATGGCAGTGGATGACAACTGAAATGGTCCCTCATAATACATACATTATGTTAAAATTATTGACCATTGGATGTTGTGAATCAGCAAGGGGCTTTAAACACAAGGAATGAAGTTGTGGAGAAAGCATTTCAGCATCTTTTTGTTTCACCTCTTGGAGGAAGGTGCTGCTGTGCCTCTAATTTGTTTCAGTTTATTCTCTTACCAAAGGACTTTGATTTCAGTTATTCCTACTCTTCCACCTCAATCATTTTATTCTGCCAAAGCTTCTCATCATGTCCTTTTCCCACTTATTTTCATGGTTTCTTCCATGCTTCCCCTTTTGCCTGGAACTCCTCTGCTCCTTGGACACAACACAATCAGTCTTCATTCAGCTCCTTCATTAAATCATGCTGCTTCTGCAAAAATGATCAATGTTAATCCACCAAAGAAAGTGCTACCTGTCTAATCTGTCACCATGCTATCTGAGCACTGTAAAATAAAAAAAGCTCCATGGGCCAGGGACTGTGGTGTTCTCTGGGTGCTCTCACCTTCTAGGGGTGAGCACACTAAACCAGTGACATAATCAAAATTCAGCATAAGATCCATTTATCAGTCTTGTCTCAGATGTCTGGATTACCAACATGCATTCACAATTTATTTTGGGTCAGTTTTTAAAAACAATATAACAAAATTTGGTCCATTGGGGCAGGTGACCACAGTTGTAAGATCATCAAGGTTTGGAGCTCAGTATTATGCTTTTAGCATTCACTTACCTTTCGCCCCCCCGCCAATCTGTAATGCTCTGTTGTTGTCTTTCATTTATCTGTTTAATTCATCAAGTGAATTCAGCCAATAAGCTTTAGATTTACTCACTGTAAGCCATTTATCTGACTTATAAGCTGAGTGCTAAAAACATTTCAACCAGACAAAATAACGAGTGGTGGAATTCAGAATGGGAAAATGTGAGTGTATTAGCAAAATGCCCCCTCATGCTGATCAGTAGTCCATACCTTCTTTACAGGCCTCCACCGCTGAGGTATTTCTAGGCATTAAAAACATTTCTAATAGGCTTGGAGTTAATGTTAGCAGCAGTTAACCCTTAAAATGGCTGAATCTTTTGTAGATTACAGTACTTTGGGATCATAATTGGGAAATGACAATTGCCTATTTACATATAATTTAGATTAGCTACACTATAAATTAGTGTAACTTAATTTTATATCATTTTGAAACTGGACTGACTAATTTCACAGAAGTGCCACAGAATTTTTCCATGAGATTTCTGGCACAACGTCAATGGAATGTAAGAGATGGTGTGCACCCATGCAAGGGCCACTTTTCTGGATGTATCTCAAAATATCTATACAACTGTGTAGGCCTTAAGGTTGAGGGATATGGTTATTTGGTCTCTTAGCATTGACCAACCCAACTTTAAACTTGCTGCCAAGTAACTTTGTTATACACTGGCTTAGGGTTCTTGGGATTGCTGTATCGGAACAGAGCTCCACCATGCCACTTTCCCCTCCCCACCCCAAACACATCAAGGAAGAGGCAGAGACTCAGGGCCAAGTGGAAGGGCAGATTCACTGGCAGGGATTTCCCCTTCTAGCAGCAGAATTCTCTACTGGGCATTTGTATGGCCCTTCTGTACCATTTGAGAGGTGCAGTGAGGGTCATAACCCAGTTTGTGAATCTGGTTCTTCATCATGTTTTTCCTCTTCAGGTTGTGGTATAGCCGGTAAGCTGATGCATGGTTTCTTCTGCCGCTCATAGGCTATGTAAAGAATCCACTGACTGTGCCTTTGTCCCCAGTACACCCTTATGCACAGCTGCAGCAGAATTCTGTGGGGCACAGGTCAGCAGCATGCTGGTAACCAGCCTCATCCCTGTATAGACTTCTGGATTGAGACCAGCTGTGCAGAGGAGATATTCTAGTGTTTCAGCCTATGGAGCTATACACATTTGCAGAGAGCGGGAAGGGGATTTATTCCATTATTTTGCCATTTATTCTGGCTGATATGTAGGTAAGGTGCATATTACACACTTTGGAAATATCCCCTAAGCCATCTGTTTGACTTTCTACACTTGTCCAAATCTTAATGTGGAAACATTTAATTCTGTTTTGTTTCCTGAGGTGACCTAAATCTTTCTGTGGGAACCTGCTCAAATATCGCCAGGAAGCTTTTAAGAGATGATTGTGTGTACAAAGATTTCCCTTGACGCAGCATGGAGCTTTCAGATGTGAACTAGTTTCACAAACATGCAGTAACTATTGCTCACTTTGGTTTTGTTTGATCAAAGAAAGTGCAAAATGTGAAATCATTGTCGTCTTTGACATTTTAGGATGGCAAATGTATTGTACATAGGGGTGGGGAATAAAGACACCTTTTCAGAATTGGTCATAAATTCTAAGTGCCTCGATAGTTTTGGGTGTCCAACTTTAGACGCCCAATGCCTAAGTTTAGGAGGTGCGGAGCACTGGCAGCCCCCAGTGAAGTCAATGAGAGCTGTGGGTACTCAGCATCTCTGCAGATAAGGTCATTGGGGATGTCTGGTCTATTCTGTTCAGGTTCTTGTGCCATGCTCATCACCACACTATCTGCTTAATGCACTCCTGGAAGGCACTCAATGTGACTCTACACCTGTCATGTGGTGGTGGTTCTCTCATCCTCTTTTTCCCCAGAGGAAGCGTCTCTCGGGTACAGCTGGTTGGGAACTTTTTGACAAAATATTTTTCCATTTAAAAAATACTGATTTTTCTAAACTGAATCCTTTTGCAGGAAAGGGTCAGTCTTGGGGGGAGGGGAAAATTGAGGGGGAGGGAGAATTGTAATTGTCAAAATGAGAAGATTTTTTTCAAAAATCTCAACTTTCTTCAAATGGGAAAACTATTTCCCGTTTCCCACCCAGCTCTAGTGTCAAGTTTTATATCCAAATAGAGTAGTCACTTCTGACAATGATGACCATATATATTAGGCGATGTTACATTTGCCATCTCTACATTTTTTTTATATGTTCCCACATACTGCGCAAATTTGTGATTGGTTTTTCTTTTACATAAAATGATGTTAGCTAGGCAAAACTAAACTGTAAAAACCTGCAATAAGTAAACAATACCATAATCTAGAACACCATAATTCCCTATCTGTACAATGGGTTGGTTAAATGATACTGACCTCCCTTTGTAAACACTTTCATATTTGTCGATGAAAAGCACTATATAAGAGTGAGGTGACTATTTATTTATTTATCTTGGTTAAACATGAATATAGTGCAGTGTGTATGAACTTTATTGGCTTCAGAGTCACATTACGCTGAACAAATGAGCTATAAAGATCAAATTTTAGCTTATTGTATGGCTTGTTATAAAATAAACGTTCCCCAAAGTTATTTTTCCCCATAGCCAAACAAATACAAAGTCACATTAAATTTAGTCCTCTAGCAAGCAATATATAGATCACAAGTGCCATAAAGAATATTTCCACTTAGTGAAGGTTGAGTTCCTTTGTTCTTTCTAGTGCAAATATAATATTTCATTGGAAGCTAGCAGAGTTTTACAATACAGAATACTACTAAAATACATTATTTTTCAAAGTGAAGGTTGGGTACAAGATTTAGTTTCCTTCCTTTTTTACTCACACATAAATAAAGCAGTTAACCAGCTCAGGATTTGCTGATTTACTTAACAAATCACTAATTCCATACAAACAGTTACACATAAGAAAATCATTAATCAGGAATAATCTTTGAGTACAAACTTGAATTTTATTTACTAATATAACAAACCATTTGAAGAGTATCTGGGGTACAGTCCAGTTTGTAATTAGCTATATTTCATTATGTACCCTAGAGGTGATAAGACATTTCCTGATGCCTCTAGAAAGAACAATAACAAAGGATGCCTTTGTTTTACTACAGTGTGTTAAAATGAGTCTACATATTTATGAGAAAGACAGAAGAAAGTTGCTGTTTGGGTCAGAATTATACTGTAACTTTAAAGAATAACAGCTTCCTATAAAGAAGAAAATGACCATAAGTATCTTTGAACTGTTGATACCACCAAAAATACAACTCACTAACATCCCATCCCTTATGAATTTTGTCAAGGTGCAATAATAAAATGTATGTCCTACAGCCTAATAATCTCTACCTATATTTACAATGTATTTTATTCTAAGTGATGTATTGCAGTAAACAGTCTTGTTTTTTTTATGATGCTGAATTATTGCCATTTAGAAAAGCAAAATAACTTTGGGCTGTGTGATACTGCAGGACCACTAATAGATCAGCCATCTCTAGATGGACGTTGTTCAAGGTGACCCTGTGGATCCTCTGAGAGGGCGTATACTTCTGTTGGTAGCATTTGTCCTTTACATATGTAGTGTCTTCCACTCCAAAATTTGGTTAAGTTGTGTCTTTGGTTAACTTGATGTGTTTTGAATCCTGGAATAGAGTTAAAATAGAAGGAGTAGTGGTATATAGGTTACCCAAGTTCGTCTGGCATTGGCTGAGCTGTCTGAATGTTAATATGGCTGGTGTTAGTCATCAAGACATACCATCCTGGGTTATTTTAACATCCAGATGGATGATGAGTCCTGTATAGTGACAATCTTGAAAACCATATGACTACCCCAGGTGATTTCTGTAGGTGGCTATAGTGTGGATTTTGTGGTCCAGGATTAGCAATTTGGGCAGTAGGGATTACACCCTTCTCATGGGCTGACTGTTGCCTCATTCAGTATGAGGTCTGGCTCTCAGTGAAACAGGGGACCTCTGTTAGTCTACCCAGTTGGATTTCAGAACTCTGAAGGATAATGCCACAGTGTACCACTCTTTTGGTGATTTTACAGGCCCTATAACCAGGGCCCGATAACCATTTTATGTCATTGACGGTCACACATGTTCACTTGTAATGGCCTTTCCTTCTTTACCATTCTCTCAGGCTACTATATTTTATGATGATGACTCTCAGTGGATGGGGTGTGAAGGGAGAAGGCTAGTGCCAGTGGCAGCAAATGTATTCTTAATTTTATCACTCCTGGCATAAATGTCAAATGTTATGTTGTGGCTGTGATAGAAATGAAGAAAGTCTTCACTGCCACCACTGCAGCATCTGCAAGGTTCTGATTGTGAACCTCTGGACACAGACTAGATATAAAGCCTTAAATTTTTTGCTGAAGGACTTGTTTTTTGTATTCTGTGAATAGGCTTGATTAGACTTGTAATATTTTTACTGCTTGCATGGTAACAGAGCTGTGCTGGGGAACCAGTACAACCTCTTCTCAGCCAGTTTTGATCACAGAGGTTCTGGAAGTTCTGCAGGACCTCTTGGCTATGACTTGCAATCTGGACTTGGAAAAGATGTCTCCTGTAGCTGTTCAAATCTAGTAAGGATAAAACTGGATTCTTTATAGAT